AGAAGGAAATGGATGGTCTTAAGATAGAAACAGACTCCCTTCAAGACGAAAAAGACGCCCTTCTGATCGAGAAGAGTGTCTGGCAGACCGAGCTTAAAGCGCTCAAAGCCGAAAGAGACAATCTTTAGCGCCTGCTTCATGATGAACAAACAGAGCGTATGGTATTTAAAAAAAGGGCTCTGGATGAGCGTAATGCCCTGCTCGGTGTCATCGGCAGAGTCCATGGAGGGATGATGGCTCTGTATAGTCGTTTCTCCCTCGCTGGGGCCCTCAGGTATGCCGAAGGATACCGAGAAAGTTTCAACAATCGCCTTCCAGCTGAGGGTCAGATAGTTTCAGGCACAGGCCCGGATGATGTTGACAAGGAGCTGGGAATTGATCCTCCAGGAGTCTATGCTAATCCAGACCCCAATCTTACCGAACACATTTTTGAAGAATGTGATGGGATTGCCTCATCTGGAGTTATCCCTGTTCTTCCTCCCGCTCAGCCTTTAGACATACCTCCTCTCTCTACTGTGGTTCCATTTGTGACTACCAGTGAAGGTGGAACTCAGTAGACTGAAGAGGTGATTCAGCTTGACTCCCCCCCTCACAGGGATGCCATTACCAATGATGGGGAGGGGAATACTAACCATCCTGGGGAGGCTACCGAGAGTGAGCAGGTGAACGAGGAGATAGATAGAACTTGATTGTACCCCGTCTTATGTATATCTTTGTAATCTTTCAGCTTATAATGAATAAAAGGATACTTTTTGACTACATATGATTTGATTCTCTGCATCACTCGATAGTACTTAATAATAATTTTTGTTTAACATAAGTGTGTGGCCTTCAGCTCATAACACCAACCACTTGTCCTTTTCATTACTTTTAACAAGTGCCTGGCGCTCGGCTAGAATGCCACTTGCCACTTGGCTTTTTCATTTTTTTTTAGCAAGTGTTTGGCGTTTGGCTCGTGGTGCTAGTTGCCACTTACTTTGCTTAAGTGTCTGGCGCTCGGCTAGAATGCCACTTGCCACTTGACTTTTTCATTATTTTTTAGCAAGTGTTTGGTGTTCGGCTCGTGGTGCCAGTTGCCACTTACTTTGCTTAAGTGCCTGACGCTCGGCTAGAATGCCACTTGCCACTTGCCACTTGGCTTTTTTATTATTTTTTAGCAAGTGTTTGGCGTTCGGCTCGTGGTGCCAGTTGCCACTTACTTTGCTTAAGTGTCTGGCGCTCGGCTAGAATGTCACTTGTCACTTGGCTTTTTCATTATTTTTTAGCAAGTGTTTGGCGTTTGGCTCATGGTGCCAGTTCCCACTTACTTTGTTTAAGTGCCTGGAGCTCGGTTAGAATGCCACTTGCCACTTGGCTTTTTCATTATTTTTTAGCAAGTGTTTGGCGTTCTGCTCGTGGTGCCAGTTGCCACTTACTTTGCTTAGGTGATTGGCGCTCGGCTAGAATGCCATTTGCCACTTGGCTTTGCTCATACTCAGTCACCTTGTTTAGAAGAAGACGATACTTTTTTTTATTTTATAAATCTTTCAAAGTTTTTGTTCTCTTACAAGTATACAATTGAAGGTTGACATTGGTTAAACTGAAACTCAATTTTCATTGATAATACCTTTTTAAAGAAGTGGCATTCCAAGGCTTGTTCACCAGCCTTCCGGCATTGGCCTCTAAGACATATGCCCCCTTTCCGATAACCTCTACAACTTTATACGGACCTTCCCATGGTGACACAATTTTCTTAATAATACCAACTTTTCTTTTCAGAACCAAATCACCAGGTGTAAAACCCCTATGCCTCACCTTTTTGTTGTGACTATTCATGAGCATTTGTTGATATGATGTGAGCCTTATTGCTGCAGCATTCCTCTTCTCTTCAAGCAAGTTGAGGTTGAATTTCAGCATATGATCATTCTGTTCCTGATTCCACGCTAAACTCCGAATGGTAGGAAATTGGTGTTCTACCGATATTACTGCCTTAGTACTATATGCCATGGCGAATGGGTTTTCTCCGGTCGGTCGTCTTGGAGTCGTTTTATACGCCCACAGGACGTTCGGGAGTTCATCCAACCACTTCTCTTTCTCTTCTTCAAGCTTTTTCTTTATGCAAGCAAAGATAGTTCTGTTTGTGATTTCAGCCTAACCATTTGCCTGTGGGTGGCTGACCGTTGCTAACTTTTGATTAATTCCATTTTCGTTCAGCAACTCCCTCACCTACTTGTCATCAAGGTTAGTCTCATTATCCATGATGATCGCCCTCAGCACACCAAATCGACAAATGATATTATTCTAAATGAAGCATCTCACATGGGTCTGAGTCACACTGGGGTACGGTTCTGCCTCCACCCATTTGGTAAAGTAATCTGTTGCAAGCAGAACGTACTTGTTTTGCGATCTGGCAGTTGGTAATGGGCCAACCACATCCATCCCCCATTACGCGAAAGGCCATGGTTTGGCCATTACGTGCAAATCTTTCGGTGGTTGGTGGATTAGAGGTCCGAACCTTTGACACTTATCGCACTTTTGCGAAAATTCTTCTGCATCTCGTGCCATATTTGGCCAAAAATAACCGTGTCATCGCCTTGTGTGCTAGAGACCTTCCTCCTGAATGATTGCCATAAACCCCTTCATAGATAATCCGCAGTATCTGCTGAGCTTCTGCAGGGGTTATACATTTTAAGTATGGTCTTAAATAAGACCTCCTGTAAAGTTGGTTGTGCACTATGGCATACTTTGCGGCATTCGATCTGATCCTTCTTGCTTTATCCCTCTGTTCGGGCAAAACACCATCCCGTATACACGTAATAATTGGATCTATCCAGCTCGGTTCATATGATATAACGTTCACTTGCCAGGGATCCGAACTGGACGGTTCCTCAAGGATAGATGGCTGGCGTTATACCCCGATTGGAATTACCCTTGCTAGTGTTTCACCTGAACTTGACGCACTGCAAGCCAATCGATCAACATCTTCATTATTCTCCCTCGGCAATTGAATAAACCTGATCTGATCGAAGCTTCTAATTTCTTGCATAACGGCAGAACGGTATACCTCCATTGTCTCATCCTTTGTTCTATACTCTCTAGTCACTTGCCGAATTATTAACTGCGAATCACTGAAGGCAACTAAACTTTTGACCTTTAGCTTTTTAGCCAACCTTAAGCCAACCAACAGCGCGTCATATTCTGCTTCATTGTTGCTTGCTTTGAATTTAAGCCCGATCGCTTGGCTCAGCGTAGTGTCTTCTGGTGTTTGTAACTTGATCCCGATTTTTGCCCCCATCTGATTTGAAGAGCCATCAGTGAAAAGCTTCCATGAAAATTCTTCAAGGCATTCATCCGGCTCATCTACATCACATTCCAGTAAGAAATCAGCCACAGCTTGCCCTTTAATGGCCGTTCGGGGGTTCATAAGCTATGTCGAAAGAACTAAGCTCTACTGCCCACTTTGTCATTCGTCTGGACAAATCGGGCTTATGCAGGATCACCCTTATAGGAAATGTGGTCAGGACCACTATAGGATGAGACTCAAAATAATGCCTAAGCTTCCTTTTTGCGTTTACCAAAGATAGGATTACACGTTTGGCCTTCGAATACCTTCTCTCTGGCTTAGTCAATGTTTTGCTTACATAGAAAACCGGGAATTGCTTACCCTCGGCACATCGTATCAGTACATCGCTGGTCGCAATGTCAGAAACTCCAAGGTACAGGAAAAACTTTTCACCTGGCACTGGGGTGTTCAGGACTGGTGGGTTCCGTATATATTCTTTCAGCTTGATTAGCGCTTGCCTTTGCTCATCCCCCTAGGACTGTTTTCCATGACCCCTGATTGTATCGAAGAATGGTTTGCATCGGTCGGATAATTTAGAAATGAATCGACTGAGTGCCGCTATGCGTCTGGTGAGAGCTTGGATCTCTTTAATAGAACTTAGTTCAGCATTTTTTAGCAAAGCTTCCGCTTAGGCAGGACTAACCTCAATCCCTCTTTTGTTGACCACGTGGCCAAGGAATTGCCCGGATCCCACGCCAAACGAGCATTTAGTTGGATTCAGCCTCATTCCATACTTTTTTAGCATGCCGAACACCTCCTGTAAATGTTTTAAGTGATGGTCCTTCTGTTTGCTTTTGACCACCATGTTGTCGATGTAAGCCTTTACTGTCCTACCCATTTGATCCTTAAAAACCTTGCTAACCAACCTCTGATATGTGGCTTCGGCATTCTTCAGTCTGAACGACATAATCTTGTAACAATAGATCCCTCGTTCAGTGACAAAAGAGGTCTTTTCCTCATCGTCTGGGTCCATTGGGATTTGATTGTAGCCTGAATATGCATCTAGAAAGGTCAGTCGCTTATACACGGTTATTGCATCCACCATTTGATCAATCTTTGGAATTGGAAAACTATCCTTTGGGCAGGCTTTGTTCAGATTAGTGAAATCAATGCAAACTCTCCTTTTTCCATTCTTCTTTTGCACTTCAACCACATTGGACAACCAGTCTGGGTTCTGTACTTCTCTAATGAACCCAGCCTTCAGCAATCGATTAACTTCATCTGCAATGATCTAGTTGCGCTCCGGGGCAAACCTTCTCTGCTTCTGCCTCACTGGTTTGACGTTCGGATCTACATTAAGAGAATGGCAAGAGACTAATGGGTCGATCCCTGGCATGTCGAGATGGCTCCAAGCGAATACATCGACGTTCTGGGAGAGGAAATCAACCAATTGACGTTTTTCTTCCTCAGTAAGCCCGGAACCTACCTTCGTGGTCCGATCTGGGCTTAAATGATCAATTTGAACTTCAACTAGTGGTTCCTCGGTCAGCACCGGAAGATCTTCCTCTCCGTTCATATTGAGGGGAGGCTTCTGTAATTGCTATTGCTCATCAGCAGATCAAGGAGCTTTTCCTTTCCCTGCAGCTTTCAGAGTCACCAAGTAACACTCCTCTGCTGCGACCTAATCTCCATGGATATCTATCATCTTGCTCCCGTCTGGACTTGTGCATCTCATCACCTAATGTAGGGTCGATGGGACTCCTTGTACCCTATGGATCCATCCCCTCCCCATCAGCAGATTGTAGGAGGGATGGATCTCTACCACCATGAAACTTTCGACAAGTTTTCTTTCAGCTGCGCGGACCATCAACTCCACTGTGTCGATTGGTTCTACCCGTTTGCCATTAAACCCCAACAGTGGGTTTCTAGTAGACTTTAGCTCCTTTGGATTGATTTCTAGGCGATCAAAAGTGACCCTTGGCATAATATTTGCACTACTTCCCGGATCAATTAGCACTCTCCGTACTAAACACTCAACCATTGTCAAACTGACAACAAAAGGGTCCTCATGAGGAATCTGAACTCGCATCAGGTCTGTCTTATCAAACTTTATTGGCGTTGTTGAGCTTTGTTGATGTAGAGTGTTGACACTGCCTATTCGTCTCTTCATCTGTGCTTGTCGAAGACGCGTTTGAGTCAATTCTTCGGACTTTTCAGCTCGTTCAGGTCGACTATGAATGACATTTATAATTCGAACGGGCTGAATGTTATGGTGATTCGGCTTTTGATTTCTTTTGACTTGCTCAATTGGTCGATTCTGCTCTTGGGCTGGTCCATGAACATACCCTACAAACTCTCCCCTAGCGATCAGCATCTCTACTTGTCTCCTTAAGTTCCTGCATTCATTAGTTTGATGACCAAAATCACTATAAAAAGCACAATGTTTAGACTGATCCCTCTGCTTAAGAGGTTGTCTAATTGGCAAGGGAGGGCAAAACTTATCTTTGTTCTCTTGGTATAGCCTTGCCAGTGTAACTTTGAGTGGAGTAATCAAGTCATCCTCCCTAGGTCTCTTCTCTGCCTTCCAGGAAGTCTGACGCGGCGTAGGAACTTGCTTCTGCCGTGTCTTCGCTTTGGACTTCTCTTCCGTGGAGATGATAGATGTTTTCCTAGCATTAGCTGCTTCTTTCTTTTCCAGGCGTACGAAACCATCTGCTCTTTCATTCAACTCGTCTAGTGTCTTCGGCGTGTTCACCACCAGACTGGTATGGAACGGTGTCCCTCGGGTATAGCTAACTTGAACGCCTGAACTGCTATGGAAGGATGGCACTCTATCACTATGCTCTTGGTTAGGTTAAACCTGGTAAGAAAAGCTTGGAGACGCTCATCGTCATGCTGCTTCCTAGTGAACAAGCTAGAGATATCTTTTGCCGATCGTTTATTCCCATAGTATTGGCTTATGAACCAATCACACAAGCTACGGAAGCTGTCCACTGAGCCCCTCGGCAGGTTCTTAAACCAGTTAAGCGCTGGTCCAGCTAAGCTTGTAGGAAAACATTTGCACATCAAAGGATCATTCTCTGTGTTCAGTGCCATCTTCAACTAAATGTGATATACATGATTGATCGGATCGGTCGTTCCGTCGAACAGAATGAAAACAGGCATGGAAAACTTCCTCGGGCTTGGAACATTCAGGATCTTGTCAGTAAACGGTGAATCAACCATTCGTGCTGCCGAACGGAGGGCCTCATTCTCTCTTTCAAACCTTGTGACAACTCTTTGATCTGTAGATCTTCTTTCCGAACTCCTATAATCATATGTGGCCATTGAAGGCCGATAAGGTAGATCGAACGACTTTTCTTCAGTGAACTCTTTCTGCCACGACGAGTTAATCTTGTGACAATCAAACTCGATATCCTGTTCGCGGTTGTGCCTTTCCTGATGCGGATTGAAAGCTGTATTTTCGTCTTGCCTGATATGCTCACGAAGAGGATCGAGATGTACAGATCCTTCTCGATCCTCAGCTCGACGAGCGTTTGGCGGTAAATTCTCCATCCTAATCTCTTCGCGGTGGAGATTGACGTGGTTATCTCCTTTTTGTTCACCTTGATATGCGTCATCAGGTCGCACGCCTCTTTCACCTACCAGAGGTGGTCGTGGCGCAATCAGAACCTCTCGGCGTTCCATTCCAGCTCTCAACTCTGTATTTTCTTTTCTCAGTGCCTCGATCATGTTCATCAGTTCATCAAGCTTCATCTGCTAGTTATTCTCCATTGGATTCGAACTCTCTTCTCCGATCATCATTCCGGATCGTAGTAAAGTCATCAACCGTAAATTTCTGATCAGATCTGAATTTTGCCAATGCTGACGCTCTAGATCTGGATTCTAACGCAGCTGAATTCTGATCGTGATTAACCAGATCTAAATTGCTCCGGCGACGAACTTGCCAAATTCAGCAAGTTCAGCGATTCTCGACCACACAGCTCTCCAAAACAATCACAAATCAGAACTGCGTAGATCAAACGCCAATTTCTCCGGTCACAATTTCACCGATCTTAATTTCGCCTTCAACAATCAGGCTTCGTCTTCAAGCGCTATACTACTAGATCAAATCAATCGGAGTGAATCATCAATGAATTCTCATCGTTTCCCACAGACGGCGCCATTGAAGATGCAAGAACTTTTCTCTCTCTAAATTGACAGAGTTTCATTACACTTCAAAAATTTCTATCCCCTTTTTTCTTTCATTTTCCTCTATTTATAGATTGTTTACAATGTTCTAGAAGATCCCTAACTAACTTCCTCCATTAGACCTATCATCAAGGCCTTTGTATCCATCGATCCATTCGTCTTTCAGGCCTTCAGCTTCACTCTTCGGCATTGGGCTTGTCTCATGACAGCTTGATTTGGGCCCAGGCCATTTGCCTGCCCATTTTCATCATGTGGGTTAGACCCGGCCCATGCCGTCTTTGGTATCCTCAGCTTACCTACCATGCGTATTCTGCCAAGCTAATCGGCCAAAATCATCGGCCCATCTGTCATGACCCTTATACTAAATACAATAAAGTGAAGGGCTCCACATATTTATTTGTTGCATAATTGACCAATTAAAATAGTACGTCTAGCAATTCACTGCAACTATTCGGTGCAATAATCATTTTCCATTTAAAATTTAAAGTGGAATGAATTTAAATTAAATTCTCCAAAATACTCATTGATAAGTACCGAATATTGCATATTCAAGCGCCCTTATTTGCATTAGTTAAATCCATTCGTTGATCATATTATACATATTAGCTTCATTTGTGTGTTTTTGATCATTTTCAGGTTGGTGCCCCAAAGATAGTTAAGAGCGCTGCTTTGTTGAGTTTTTGAAGAATCAAAGCATGCTGTTGCCGGGGACCTTCACTTTGGCCAAGCTAGTGACCCATTAATCTCATGTTTTCCCTGCAAAAAGCGCTAAGGAGGATGCCTACCAAAGCGGACCGAGCCAAAAGCAACCTGGCAGCAGTGAATTTCAACTTTGTTCTTCATTTTTGACCCACCACACTTGAGAATTGGACTCCCATTAAAACATGACATACTTAGATCTTTAAGTTAGCTTTCCAAATCATCAAACAGTTCATCATTTGGATTTTGGAGCAAATAATTATGTCATTTTTACCCCAGGTGTGCAATGCTGAAATTTACAGCCTGGCAGCAGTGAAGCCCGACTTTGTTCTTCATTTTCGACCCACCAAACTTGAGAATTGGACTTCGATTAACATAACATACTTAGATCTTTGAGTTAGCTTTCCAAATCATCAAACGGTTTGTCATTTGGAGTTCGGAGCAGGGAGTTATGACCGTGTTACCAAAGGTGCGCAGAGCTAAGGAACATCCGTGGGCGCCCGCGAGAAACCTGCGGGCGCCCGCCAAAATGGGCAGCGAGCTCGTGCGCCCGTGGGCGCCCGCCGATTTGCAGAGATCTGCTCAACCACTCCATGATTTTTGCTCAAATTTGTCCCCTTTGACTAAATGAATGGCTAGGTTTCTTTCTGGGGATTTCTAAGCCACGGATTGGGGGAGATAGATAAGATTTTTAGGGTATATTTGGTGGCTTGTATCATGTAAAAAGATATCTCTCATTTTTGTAAGGTTCTAGAGAAAGAAAGGAGTGTTCTTGAGAGCTTGGCTTGTAGGTGGCTCCTAGGTGCGAAAATGGAAGGGTTAGCCATCTCTTCTCCTTCCTCCATTGCTCCTATGGGTAACTAACTCCCTTTTTAGGGAGGTGATGAAGCCCTTCTTTGTAAGCATGCCTTAGTTTCATTTAATTTGGGGAATGATTCATGTATATGGTAGTTTCATGATTTAGAGCACTTACATTTGTTGTAATTGAATTTAATGCCTATAAATGATCATGTTGAGTTCATTATCTTGTCTTAGATTTTATCCTCTCATGATTATATAACTTGCATCTTCATAGTGAGAATGGAAATGAAAATTGTGAAATGGGTTTAATGGCATGTTGTATGAGAAACTTGATATTCCATAACTTAGGGCCTTCCTTTGATGGATTACTCTTGATTTTTGACTTCATGTGCTATTATTATTTGATTGAGGGTTTGATAATCCCTAGCTTAGTGAGTATGTTATGGCTACACCATAGTTTAGGTAGTTTAAGCATGTGGAACTTTGAGGGGTTATACTTAAGTCTTAATCCTATGAATTTCTTGAAGATAATGTAGCAATCTAGTATTGCTACATATCATTGCCATACATTGACATTGTTTCCCAAGTTAATTGCAATCTAGCATATTTATGTGGAAGGTAGTGGATTCATTTCCCTAACTTTCTTTACATAAATCTCTCTTCTTTACATTCCTTGCATTTAACATTTTAAACACATTTTAATTTCAAGTGACAAACCAATCAAAACTCTATACCTCTTTCATCAAACTAAAAGTGATTTTAAAGACCTTGGTTGCCATAAATTAGCAATCCCTATGGTTCGACTTACCCGACCAATAGCCCTATTTTACAATGATTTGTGCTATTGCAAAGGTTGATGTATAATTGATAACCGATCACTCATCTTAGTCACAAATATATTAAATTAACAAAATAACATTTTTCTATAATTTTTTAAAAAGAAATGGTAGTGGTGTTGGATGGCGGTGAAGTTGGTGATGGAGGTGGAAAGTGGTAGTAGTGTTGGAAGAAGGCGACGATGGTGGTGGAAGGCGTCAATGAAGTAGGTGATGATGGTGGAAGGCAATGGCGGTGGCAATGGTGTAGTTGTGTTGGAATGTAGCAGTGGTGTAAGTAGAAGGCAGTGGAGGTGACGACGGTGGCGGTGGTGGAACGCAGTGGTGCTGGTGAAAGGCGACGGTATGGTGGTGGTGGTGCAAAGGTGATAGTGGTATAGGTGGTGGTGGCGGTAATGGATGACGAAAGTGGTGCGGTGGCAATGACGGTGGTGGAAGGCAATAGAGGTTGCGGTGGTCGAAAGTGGTAGTGGTTGCAGTGGTGGAAGTTGGTGGTGGTGGTGGTGGCGGTGGTGGTGGTGGCGGCGGCAACGGCGACGGTGTGGTGGCTGAAGGAAGCAACAATGATTACGGTGGCAGTGACGGTGGTGAAAGGCAATAGAGGTAGTGATAGTAAAAGGTGACAGTGGTTATGATAGTGGAAGGCAATGACAGTGATGGTAATTTTTTGACTTTGAACATTAGGAAGAAAAAAAAAAGTTGTTTAGGAATGGAATAGCCAAAAACCATACATACAAAACCACCTTTAGCGTTATCATTACATATTGTGCCATCACATCACTCCAAGTCTTATTTAACAGCATCAGAGCTTTAGTATCTCACACTCAAATCTTACAAAATAGTAGATAAAATTAAGCTCACACGACATTCATATTTCACATATATGTATGATTATTGTAGTTCAATCACTATAGCAGGATACGGGATTAATGGAACCACACAGTAGTGACTCAATATAGTGCGCTAACAGCACTATCGTCGTGGCAGCAGACGAAAGCTAAGTTTTTCCCCATATTGCGAAGGCACTCTGGGCATTTCATATTCTCTGGAATCCTCCCGACAGTGCTCGGAAACTCGAAACGACAGCACGGCAGAGCTGCACCATGAAGCATGTCATGGTAATCTTTAATTGATGGGTCGAAGCCTTTGACAGTTATATTTTCCTTCCACATATCGTACTCGTTCAATGCAGGCAACACAGTGCTGCTGTGTCCATTGATCACGACGGAACTTCCGTTGCTCAGCACGGCCCATCCACCGCTCTTGTCATAGCTGAGGATTTTCTTGATCGCCAGCATCATGGGGTCATTGTCATCGCCCCTGCCTAGTTGAATCTTGGAGAACAACATGCTCTCTAGACGGGTCCAGAAAAACCATATCATGGCCATATCTTGCCAGCAGTAGCTGAGTTTCTCCATCATGATGGTCGAGATGACACGCCGGACTTGCTCCCTTTTGGTGCTCTTTCCCACATACACCATCTCTAATGGGATGCGAGAAGCCAATGCGACAGAGCGTGCTGAGGTGGTAAATTTTCGAATCCACTCAATGTCATCCCCTCCATACAAGAATATGTATTTGCCGTCTCTTATCTAAAATAAACAAGACATTCAACACTATGTTATCAAAAATACACTTTACTATAAGATCAAAATCATCATCCTTACTTTTTGATTCCATTTTAATTTATTTTATCATATACTATATATATATATATATATATAAATATATATATATATATATATATATATATTATTATTATTATTTTTTGCAGGAAGTGATATATATGATGGAATTGACTTACCCAATTCAAAATTGTTTGGTCAATGCCATTGACCAGCAACTCAAGCCTCCAAATCTCTTCATTCCAAAGAGTTTCCTCTCTCAAGCTAGTGAAAGGGAAGGCACCACTTCCCCATATCAACATCATGTGGATTGCATTAGGGCTCAACACCTTTCCTTGTGGGTCGAGCACCACAAGGATAGGCTTGTTCCTGAAGTGCCATTTCTCCTTGATGAACCTGATGACCGGCTTCTCGATGAATGAAGGGTGGTTCACCGAGAACCACGGCATTGTGGCCTGCAGGCTTTCAAACTGCTTCTGCATGGGGTCAGTCCACCGGGCCCAATGTTCCACAATTGGAATCCACAACACCTCGTATGCGTGAATCCTCGAGTCATTGTTAATCTGCTCAAGAACCGAAAGCTCATCCTGGGAGATGTCTAGGCCTGATATCAGCAATAAGACATTCTTCCTCCTGAGAACTTCAAGGCTCACCTGTTTAATTTGCCATACAATTGAAAGATATCACGATATTAAAATGCAGTATAATTGAGTTAATCAACATTGGTAATCACAAAATTCCAGGGGTACTAGAAGTGAATTCGTTCAAACCCTTCTCTTTGAAGCACCATCAAGGAGTGGTAGCTGATCATCCTTGGCATAAATTAGGGATTTAAGAACTTTCATGTTGTCAATGTGGATCATATCAAATATATGCTGCAGTGCCTCATAAGCTTCAACGTCCCTCTTATCCTCTGCATGAAACAGCATTGTTTAGACAGTTTGACAAACCATTTTTTGGTCATTATAGTGTTTCTGCAAGAAGTACTTGTGTGCATTTAAATGGTTGGTCAATACTTACCTATGTGTTTGTAGCAATTAGTCAGTTGCTTCTTGAGATGCTCGAGTATGTTGTTGATCTTGTACGCCAAGGTAGATATTTCCCATGACTCTTGTAACCTGAAACCAGTTGCAATAGCTTTTCTTACGTGTCAAGATCAAGAACCATGGTCTTTTAACAAAACTATTGTAACATACGTATTACCTCAAGATTATTATGTAATACACACACACACACACACACACACACACACACATATATATATAAATATTCAAAACACAATTATAATTGCTGTTATGATTGAAGATATGTGTGTGTGTAACCATCAATTTTGAGCATGACAGTAAACATACTCGTGGCCAACGGCACCGAGATTGATAATCTGAGCTGCGCAAGCAACGACACCTCTGATGGACCAATAGACAGCACTTGGGATAGTGGCTGTGGCAGTGGACAACGCTGGTACATCCTGTGTGATATAGATAGATGGTAGCTCCTTCAACTCCACGATACACCTTGTCAGATCCAAAATGGCCCTGATGAGATTGTTAATTGCATCAAACCGTGATTTTAATGAGCCCGAGTGCTCCATGATGACAGGTAATTGCCTAAGGATAGCCATTGATTTTGCAAGTTGGTTTGATGAGTAAATCTGGCAAAGGAGCCAGAATTCTCCATATTTTAAAGCAAAAGCTGCTAAGGTTAGCACCAGTTTAGTCTCCCATGAAAAGTTTGATAGTGCATTAAACAGAGGGAGTGTTGTTGCGTGTCCTTCCCCTCCACTCAAACACTTGCTTTCCATCTGATAGTACATTTATATAAAAAGAAGTTGATGTAAGTAGGTTACAATATTAATCCACAAGATACAAAAATTAATTATATCTATACATACAAGAAATTATTTTATTTTTATTTTTTAAGTCATATATAATATGAAACATGAATTCTGTATAAATGCTATATATAAGAACCTCGCAGGAGATCCGTTCAATTGTATATAACAGTGAGTCAAGCATGAGAACGGCACCAGCTTGTTGGGTTTTGTCTTCCATGTTTTCCTTTTGCGATTGGGTACCATCCTTCAGTGAAAACACAAGTAAAAATTAGCATAAAAAGAATTTACTCTATATGCATGAATCAATAAAAAATAAGAGAATAAAAAGGAAGCACCTTTTTTTTTTTTTTTTTTTTTTTTTTTTTTCATAAATAAAAGTGACCTTATTTACACCCCACTTGAATTTGATACAGATGCAGAATACTTTAAATATTTATTTTAAGGAAAAGGAGATATATTATAGGTCTATACCAGTAAAAGGCCATCAACGTTGAGGGTGGAACGGCGGAGGATGTCCTCAACGACACGGAGAAGAGGTTTAACATTAACCTCAAAGCCATCAGGAGCATGAGTTGCCAGAATTTGCTTCATCAATATGCTGTCATCGGAAGACATGAACATGCTCCCGCGGTTAGGAGTTTTCATCAGTTGGAGGGCAGAACCTGCAGGAGTTTGGGAATGGAGGTATGAACCTGCAGGAGTTTGGGGTTGGAGGTATGAACCTGCAGGAGTTTGGGGCTGGAGGTATGAACCTGCAGGAGTTTGGGGTTGGAGGTATGAACCTGCAGGAGGAGTTTGGGGTTGGAGGTATGAACCTGCAGGAGTTTGGGGTTGGAGGGCTGAACCTGCAGGAGTTTGGGGTTGGAGGGCAGAACCTGCAGGAGTTTGGGTTTGGAGGGCAGAACCTGCAGGAGTTTGGGGTTGGAGGGCAGAACCTGCAGGAGTTTGGGGTTGGAGGTATGAACCTTCAGGAGTTTTTGGTTGGATGTATGAACCTGAAGGAGTTTGGGGTTGGAGGTATGAACCTGCGGGAGTTACCTTGTTGGCCATGTTGGGGTATGGAAAGTAGCAGCAAGAGGCAGATTGATGAGAGTAGTTAAGAGGGCTTGTCTTATGCTTGCAATCTGCCTAGCCTTATATACTCATCCCAAATGGAATAAAGCTAGCTGAATCTGCTTCTTGCTTCCAATGAAATCAATATCCCTCAACTTTAATTAAGTTGAAGCTTGAGCTTTTTCTTTTTGTTGACACTCTACCCCACTTCTTTACTTTGCAATATTAATTGTAGGTGTCCAAGAATCTTAAGCAGTGAATCCAACAATGTATGTAGTATAAGATATATATGCATGTAACTATATATATATATATATATATATATATATATATATATATATATATATATCCTCCTGAATGGCATGTAACTATATTAATCTAAAGAACTGTGTTGATTAGAAAATAGTGACTACATACTTTTATTTACATTTTTTTTTTTTTGTTGGGTAAGTTTATTTAAAACATACAGAACCAATATAGGTTCATTGTTCAATTGATTTCTGGTTCAGCAGGCGTATCAGTGGCTGTCTCAAATTTCACCCAAAATGAGAAAGAGATAGATCCAAAGAAACCAGGTCGCAGCAGCATTGGCATAGACACATAGTCTTACAAATAATTTGAAAGATCTCGTCTTTTATTAAAGAGGAACGAGATGGTCTTAAAATAATTTCAAAGGTTTCATAAGTAAGTTGATATTCTTGATTTAAGGCTCTCTGTACTTGATTTAAGGTAGTTGCAAGTATTGCACTGGAGTAATCTCAAGGTAGATAATCCATTTAAAATATTAACTAAAAGGATTTTATATACTACCTCCGTCCGATTATAAATGTCCGGTAATAAATTTCACACATTTTAAGACAGTAAGACACTAGCTTTTATTATATTTTATTACATTGGCACATCATATATTTTCAAATTTGCCCCTTTTAAAAGTTATTCTTTGATGGGGTCCATCCATTTTGAGACTTTAATTTGCTTCATTTTTTAGGGGTAAATTGGGAATTGCTATAAAAATAGTGCTTTGATTTTTGAAATGAGACAACTATTATGGGCCAGCCAAAAATGAAAAGATGGAATGTTAATATGGGATCGAAGGAGTATATATATATATGTATGTATGTATATATATATATGAATGTATGTATATATTTCCAGTTGAATGGTAGGGTTGAACAATGAGATAAGAATAATAATCCTTACACTACTTAATAACCTTTTATAAAAGACATTGTACACAATTCACTATTTATTATATGCTTTCTTGTATTTGTTAATGGGCACTTGGGCAAGTGTTCTATTCATGAGTTGAGTAGCATTTACCATTCAATTAGAAGCTTAAATTACACTAAAGAAATGGAAATGAAACTGAGCATACAATGTAAATGCATCGTTTTTCATCCCATCATGAAACCCTAAACAAATTTGAGATAAAATTAAGACAAAAAATAATATATATATATATATATATATATATATATATATATATATATATAAAGTAAGCAATACTAGAAGAGTGTGTGGACTCCACCACCACCTAGGGTACTTACATATGGTACTCCGGTCAACGGAGAGTCCTAAAAATTCTCCATTTTCCTGGATAAAAGTGAAATGGAGAGTCCTCGAGATCAATAATGAGTGTTCATTGGCCGGAATACCACATTGAAAGTATCCCTCCATATTGTATACATTCTCCACAATCCTCCCTATCCCTTAGTTGGTGTAATGGAACATATGTGGAGGAACAAAAACAAAAGCAAAATTGACAATTTCCATACAAATATCTGAAAACAAAAGTGAAATATAGCAGATAGTTTTAGAACAAAATCATACAAATCCGCAATTGTAGAACTCAATGCGATATCAATTATCAAACTGAACCAGATAAATTTTACCTGCGCCAAGGAGAAATCGAAATGACGAGAGAACAAATTCCAGATAAAATAATACCCAACCTTAGAGATCGCCATTCACCGACCCCAACGTATGGACGTACTTGTCAAACCCTTGCTGAACCCTTGGTTCCGACGGCGAAACCCTTCATTTGTTTACACGTGAAATGATTATTTAAAAATAATTTTTTTCTGTTTTTGGGTCATAAACGAGCACCTTTTGTTGTTTACTAAAAAAAAAAGTTTTTAATTTCACAAAATTTACAATGAAATAATAATTTAAATTATCTAATTCAATTTATGTGAGTGAATAATGGACACATCATATGATTACACGTTATAAGGTGATATCCACAACTCTTTTTATATAAATTAAATTTGAAATTTTATTCCTAAATTATTACTCTTTACAATACCATAAATCTTACAAAATAATTTTAGAGTCAGATTTCATGTAATTTAAAATTATTAAAAATTAATATAATATAATGATAATTTTTTGAAAAAAGGGTCATTATATAATAAATTAAAAGTAAAGAATAGAAAATACAAAAGAATTAGTTAACGAGATCTACCAAATGAGATGGCTTGATACAAGCAATCATTTAAGCTGAAATTATTAACGAGACATTTCTACTAAAAAAAAAATATGAGAAAAAAAAAAATTTGTCAAATATGTGAAGTTTGAAAGTTTTTATGAGAGTAACAGTTTCGTTTTAGAAAATTTTAATCTTTATAATTTTTTTAATATTTTATTAATTTTTAGAGTAATTAAATCCAATTAGTAAAGTTCACGTGAAAATTTACATAAAAAATAAAAACTTGAGTTATGCTACAACATTCATTTGTAAGGTTAATGACATCAATAGTAAATTTTGTAAACCTTCGATCCTTTTTTTTTTTTTTTAAACCAGCAAAAGATTAACAATTTTTTTGTAAGGAAAGAAATATTTCTTTTTGAATAGCAAATCACTGTGTAGATAAATAAGGGGTTCAACCACCTATTCCGCACAAGAGTATTGTTACTTTTAATCACTAAATTAAAAATGTATTAAATGATTACTATCTTAAAAAACAATTTCAATCAAGTGATTAAACATAAAGAAGTCACACACTAGAGTAAAGGTTTCTGTTTTTAATATGCGAGCGTGATAGTAGAGCTCTTGTTGAAGGAAGCTTCTTGATAGCCTTACTCTTTGAAAAATTAGGAAAGATGGTGTTTGGTTATGAATGACCCTTATAACAAATGACATTATGCCTTTTAATGTTTTTAAGGGCATTATCCTCATTTAATAAAATTTATCTCTCAGGTGACAAGGCAGGAGATATTTAAGAGTTGACTTCTCATTAATTCATTCACAATCAAGTTCCTTTCATAACAAAATATGATAGCTTAAGTAATTTGTGTAAAAAATGTACTTCAAAAGTTATATGTTGGGTTAGTCATAGTTTCAATATTTTTTATTTTGCATTTTATCTAAAATAATCTTAGAGGTAAGACATGTCCATATGAACGCGGCGAGTGAATTAAGATATTCTTCCGGTCAAAAATCACATCACTTCCTTGTCAATATTTTTTTCACGTAAAAGGGACAAATTGCATAGGTTAACAAGGAAAAACACATCATCACATAAGTGGGACAATTAAAAAATAAGCCGTAAAAAATGTGGACAAAAAGTTAATATGGTGTGTTTTCATCATTAAATGGACATATCGACAATTTGTTATGGCTAAGTGAAACGGGTGGACGTTTGCTCATTTATTGAAAAACTTAAGTTGTTGGGTAGTATTACATACTTACTCATTCATACTTAATCACTCTCTCTTTCAGATCCAATGTGAGACAAATTTCCCATTGTAAAGTGCAATACTTTATAAAGTATTTGCTTGCAGTACTTTATAGAGCAGAAATGCATGTTAATCTCTTATCCATCTACGTGGACAACGTTACTTAATTGCCTCGGCTAGTCATCACTGAACATTGAAGAAGCCAAAATTTGTCATCTGTAAATTGGGTTATTTTGGCATGAGCGGAATGCAAGAATGTACTCTGATGCTCCCTACAGTACTCAACGGGGAATCCTTGATTCAATCACCTCTCAGGGGTCCTCAAAGATTGTGTCTCACTCCTTCACCTTGATGAATAGGGAACTTATCTCCGCCTCACCGGATGTTAACGCCTGAGCTCTCTGAGCTGAGAGCCTTTGCTGCTTTGCCGGAGATTTGAATTGCACCTGCTAACAGAGTTACTCTGACTTGTCAGCACTGGCAATTCATTTGAAGTCTGCAGGGCTTAGGCTTCTAGCTAGGGCTGATGTTTTTTTTTTGTTTGGTCTTGGGTTCAGCTCTCATTGTAACTGGGTCTTGCCTATCTTTAGGCGTACCACCGAACTTGTACAGATTCCTATATTAATATAATTGTTTGAATTTCGGTGGGAAAAGTTAATTAATACGAGTAATATTAATTATTAATAAAACACCCTTTAGCTTATCATTATGGCAACGAGACTCATATTTAACAGCATAAGAGATTTAGTATCTCACACTCAAAATCTTACTAAATAGATAAAATTAAGTTCACAGGTACACCACATACATATTTCACATAAATGTATGATTATTGTAGTTCAATCACTATAGCAGTATACGGGCTTAATGGAACCACACAGTAGTGACTCAATATAGTGCGCTGAAATCACTTCCGTCGTGGCAGCAGACGAAAGCAAAGTTTTTCCCCATATTGCGAAGGCACTCTGGGCATTTCATTTTCTCCGGAATCCTCCCGACAGTGCTCGGAAACTCGAAACGACAGCACGGCAGAGCTGCACCATGAAGCATGTCATGGTAATCTTTAATTGATGGGTCGAAGCCTTTGACAGGTATATTTTCCTTCCACAGATCGTACTCGCTCAATGCAGGCAACACAGTGCTGCTGTGTCCATTGATCACAACGGAACTTCCGTTACTCAGCACGGCCCATCCACCGCTCTTGTCATAGCTGAGGATTTTCTTGATCGCCAGCATCATGGGGTCGTTGTCATCGCCTCTGCCTAGTTGAATCTTGGAGAACAACATGCTCTCTAAACGGGTCCAGAAAAACCATATCATGGCCATATCTTGCCAACAGTAGCTGAGTTTCTCTGTCATGATGGTCGAGATGACACGCCGGACTTGGTCCCTTTTGCTGCTCTTTCCCACATACACCATCTCTAATGGGATGCGAGAAGCCAATGCAACAGAGCGTGCTGAGGTTGTAAATTTTCGAATCCACTCAATGTCATCCCCTCCATACAAGAATATGTATTTGCCATCTCTTATCTAAAATAAACACCACATTCAACTCTAGGTTATCAAAAATACATTCTGCTCGAAGATCATCATCAGCCTTACTTTGATACCATTTTAATATATTTTATAATATGCTAATTAATTATATTGTTTTTGGTAGGAAGTAATGTATATATGATGGAATTGACTTACCCAATTCAGAATTGTTTGATCAATGCCATTGACCAGCAATTCAAGCCTCCAAATCTCTTCATTCCAAAGAGTTTCCTCTCTCAAGCTAGTGAAAGGGAAGGCACCACTTCCCCAAATCAACATCATGTGGATTGCATTAGGGCTCAACACCTTTCCTTGTGGGTCGAGCACCACAAGGATAGGCTTGTTCCTGAAGTGCCATTTCTCTTTGATGAACCTGATGACCGGCTTCTCGATCAATGAAGGGTGGTTAACTGAGAACCATGGCATTGTGGCCTGCAGGCTCTCAAACTGCTTCTGCATGCGGTCAGTCCACTGGGCCCAATGTTCCACAATTGGAATCCACAACACCTCGTATGCATGAATCTTCGAGTCATTGTTAATCTGCTCAAGAACCGAAAGCTCATCCTGGGAGATGTCTAGGCCTGATATCAGCAATAAGACATTCTTTCTCCTCAAAACTTCAAGATTCACCTGTTTAATTTGCCATACAATTGAAAGATATCACGATATTGAATTGCAGTATAATTGAGTTAATCAACATTGGTAATCACAAAATTCCAGGGGTACTAGAAGTGAATTCGTTCAAACCCTTCTCTTTGAAGCACCGTCAAGGAGTGGTGGCTGATCATCCTTGGCGTAAATTAGGGATTTGAGAACTTTCATGTTGTCAATGTGTATCATTTCAAATATATGCTGCAGTGCGTCATAAGCTTCAACGTCCCTCTTATCCTCTGCATGAAACAGCAATGTTTAGACAGTTTGACTAACCACTTTTTGGTCATTACAGAGTTTCTGCAAGAAGTACTTGTGTGCATTTAAATGCTTGGTCAATACTTACCTATGTGTTTGTAGCAATTAGCCAGTTGCTTCTTAAGATGCTCAAGTATGTTGTTGATCTTGTACACTAAGGTAGATATTTCCCAGGACTCTTGTAATCTGAAACCAGTTGCAATAGCTTTTCTTACATGTCAAGATCAAGAACCATGGCCTTTTAATAGAATTATTGTAACATACGTATTACCTCATGATCATTATGTTATATATATATATATATATAAATGTTCAAAAACACAATTATAATTGCTGTTATGATTGAAGATATGTGTGTGTGTATAACCATCAATTTTGAGCATGACAGTAAACATACTCGTGGCCAACGGCACCGAGATTGATAATCTGAGCTGCGCAAGCAACGACACCTCTGATGGACCAATAGACAGCACTTGGGATGGTGGCTGTGGCAGTGGACAATGCCGGTACATCCTGTGTGATATAGTTAGATGGTAGCCCTTTCAACTCCATGATACACCTTGTCAGATCCAAAATGGCCCTGATGAGATTGTTAATTGCATCAAACCGTGATTTCAACGAGCCCGAGTGCTCCATGATGACAGGTAATTGCCTAAGGATTGCCATTGATTTTGCAAGTTGGTTTGATGAGTAAATCTGGCAAAGGAGCCAGAATTCGCCATATTTTAAAGCAAAAGCTGCTAGGGTTAGCACCAGCTTAGCCTCCCATGAAAAGTTTGATAGAGCGTTAAACAGAGGGAGTGTTGTTCCGTGTCCTTCCCCTCCACTCAAACACCTGCTTTCCATCTGATAGTACATTTATATAAAAAGAAGTTGATGTAAGTAGGTTACAATATTAATCCACAAGATACAAAAATTAATTATATCTATACATACAAGAAATTATTTTATTTTTATTTTTATTTTTTTAAGTCATATAATATATGAAACATGAATTCTGTATAAATGCTATATATAAGAACCTCGCAGGAGATCCGTTCAATTGTATATAACAGTGAGTCAAGCATGAGATCGGCACCAGCTTGTTGGGATTTGTCTTCCATGTTTTCCTTTTGCGATTGGGTACCATCCTTCAGTGAAATCACAAGTAAAAATTAGCTAAAAAAGAATTTACTCTATATGCATGAATCAATAAAAAATAAGAGAGTAAAAAGGGAGCTTTTTTATTTTATTTTTTTCATAAATAAAAGTGAGCTAATTACACCCCACTTGAATTTGATACAGATGCAGAATACTTTAAATATTTATTTTAAGGAGAAGGAGATATATTATAGGTTTATACCAGTAAAAGGCCATCAGCATTGAGGGTGGAACGGCGGAGGATGTCCTCAACGACACGGAGAAGAGGATTAACATTAATCTCGAGGCCATCAGGAGTATGAGTTGCCAGAATTTGCTTCATCAAGATGCTGTCATCGGAAGACATGAACATGCTCCCGCGGTCAGGAGTTTTCATCAGTTGGAGGGCAGAACCTGCAGGAGTTTGGGAATGCAGGTATGAACCTGCAGGAGTTTGGCGATGGTGGTATGAGCCTGCAGGAGTTTGGGGTTGGAGGTATGAGCCTGCAGGAGTTTGGGGTTGGAGGGCAGAACCTGCAGGAGTTTGGGGTTGGAGGGCAGAACCTGCAAGAGTTTGGGGTTGGAGGGCAGAACCTGCAGGAGTTTGGGTTTGGAGGGCAGAACCTGCAGGAGTTTGGGGTTGGATGTATGAACCTTCAGGAGTTTTCGGTTGGAGGTATGAACCTGAAGGAGTTTGGGGTTGGAGGTATGAACCTGCAGGAGTTAACTGGGTGGCCATGTTGGGGTATGGAAAGTAGTAGGAAGAGGCCGATTGATGAGAGTAGTAAAGAGGGCTTATGTTGTGCTTGCGATCTGCCTAGCCCTATATACTCATACAAATGGAATAAAGCTACCTGAATCTGCTTCTTGCTTCCAATGAAATCAATATCCCTCAACTTTAATTAAGTTGAAGCTTCTGCTTTTTTCTTTTTCTTGACACTCTACCCCACTTCTTTACTTTGCAATATTAATTGTAGGTGTCCAAGAATCTTGAGCAGTGAATCCAACAATGTATGTAGTATATGTAACTATATTCCTTTTTTTTTTTTTTTTCCCCTCCTGAATTGCATGTAACTATATTAATCTAAAGTACTCTTTTGACTAGAAAATAGCGACCCATACCTTTATTTACAATTTTATTTTTTGTTGGTTAAGTTTATATAAAACATACAGAACCAATATTGGTCAATTGTTCAATTGATTTCTAGTTCAGCAGATGTATCAGTGGCTTTTCAAATTTCATCCAAAATGAGAACGAAAGAAACCAGGTCGCAGCAGCATTGGCATAGAGACACAATATTACACATAATTTGAAAGATCTCGTCATTGATTAAAGAGGAGCAAGATAGTCTTGAACATAATTCCAAAGATTTCATATATATATATATATTGGATAAGTAAAAATGTATTAGAAAGCGTTCAAAGGGGGAACACGTCTCAAGAGCTGTAGAAAAACCAGAAATAAAAAAGAGGGGAAAGACCAATGGACTCAAAGAACCCAAAAAGTCCACAATTTCATCTAACAATGAATAATTTCTCCACCAACCCCAACAAAAGAGAGAACAAATAATAGAAAACTTCAACGCCCCAATGGAAGATTTCTCCCCATCAAAAGATTTTCTAATCTGCTCTTTCCAAAGGCTCCACCAAACACAAAGGGGGTCACCCTCCAAAACTCGCTAACATGATTGATTGATATTCATGATTTAAGGTAGTTGCAAGTATTGGACTAGAGTAATCTCAAGGTATATAATCCATTAAAAAGATTGTAGGTATTGAATTTATCTCACTTCACATGGCCTACATTTCTTGGTCAAACGGTCAACGAACTATGCCACATCATCAACAAAAGCTTGGTCAAATGGTTAACAAGCGACGCCACATCAGAATTGATGGCCCACTAGTCAAACGGTCAAACGGTCTAAGTTACGTGACACTTACCACGTTAATATACCACGAATAGAAGATCGAAGACTTGAAGACCTGAGTTGGGAGCAGGACTCAAGATTACTTGGGATCCGAGGAGGTTCTTGGTTTGGTGGATGAAGTTCAGGATTCGTCGAGTTGACACTCGACCTGACTCGTAGAGAGAGATACTATTTCGACTCCCATATATTTTAGACCCATCTTCATTAACATTATTTTATAATGTTAATGGGCCCCACATATGATGTCATATGACATCACCCAACCTCTCACTTGGCCTATATAAGGATGTGCTCCAAGACTAAGCAGAGGTAGAGCAAAAAAGGGGAACAGTAAATAACCTCTCATACTTTCCCCATACACCTTTATTAAGGGAGTCAATGGTGTACTATGATATTGCCATCTTCATCCTCTTTCTCGAGTTTGCTTGTGCTTCCACCTCTCTCAGTCCACCTCGGATTCTATTATATTGTCTGGATCACTCAAATTTGTGTATGATATCACCATTTATATGTATTTTATTGTGTTACGAAAACGAACCCCTACAAAGATTAATTGAAAGGATTATATATATATATATATATATATATATATATATATATATACATATTTATTTCCAGTTAAATGGTTGGGTTGAACAATGGGATAAGAATAATAATCCTTACACTTCTTAATATCCTTTTATAAAAGTCATCGTACGAAATTCACTATTTATTATATGTTTTCTTGTACTTTTTAATGGGCAACTGGGCAAGTGTTCTATTCAACTTAGGAATAACCCTAGACTACTTAAGAAAAATAGGGTTAATTGCAATAAAATCCCTGAAAAATCAGTGATTAGCAAATAATCCCTTGAATTACAACCTACTTACACTCTAAACTAGGCAAAATACACAATTAAAAGGACATAACTCTCGGCTGCTATTAATATCAAAACCACGTCCAGTTAAGCAGATGCCGTGGAAGCTAAAAATCTCAACCACCAATCATAAATCGACAACTTATTCAAGCATTCAACATAAGTGGATGATTAAATCAAATAATTGAGTAGCATTTACCATTAAATTAGAAGCTAAAATTACACTAAAGCAATGGAAATGAAAAACACATTGTTTTTCATCCAATCATGAAACCCTAAACAAATTTTAGAAAAAATTATGACACAAAATTATAGAGTAAGCAAAGCTACAATTGCCAATATTACCACAAAGGGAGAGAAGAGTGTGTGGGGTCTACCACCTCCCCCGTCGATGGACAGTTGTGAAAACTCTCCATTCTCATTAATAATAATGAAATAGGGAGTTCTCGATATCAATAATGAGTGCTCATTGGTCGAAATACCACGTTGTAAATATTAAGCGATATTGTATACTTTCTCAATAATCCTCGGTGGGGCAAAAAAGAAAAGAAAGAATAACATTAGTAATGGAATAAAAGAAAGATAAGAAATGAGAGTATAATGTAAGCTACTTATCGTGTTTAGTTTACTAATAAAAGAAAAGAAAGGAAGTGAGAGTAATTGGAGAAAGAAAGGAAATAAAACTATTTTAATAAATTTATCATCATACCTTGTTCATATATTTTATCCTTCATAAAAATAAAAATAAGGACAAATTTAATATTAACAAAGTTATATTAATAATTAAAGTCTTTAATCCCTTTCCTTCTGTTTCCTCCCATAAGGATAACAAAATAACTTATCAAGCTTTAACCGTATCCCTACAAATCCTTCCGTTTCATCTTTTTTTCCTTCTAAAATTTTATACCAAACACAAAAAAAAAAAAATCATATCCTCCATTTCCTTCCTTTTTTTTTTTTTTTTTTTTTTTGCCTCCCATTTCTTTCCAACCAAACTGGGAATAGAACATATCTGGAGGAATCATAATCGAAACTGACAATTTCCATACAACATTCTTAAACAAAAGTGAAATATAGCAGATAGTTTTAAAACAAAATCATATAAGTCAGCAATTGTAGAACTCAATACGATATCAATCATCAAATTGAACCCTATAAAATTTACCTGCGCCAAGGAGAAATCGAAATGATGAGAGAACAAATTCCAGATAAAATAATACCCAACTTAGCGATAGCCACCGCCGTGGGGTCCAAAAGTACTCCTGGCTTTTCTAATAAACGCTGTATACTAACGTAGCGTATGTACGTACTTGTCAAACCCTAGCTGAACCCTTGGTGCCGACCAGATGGCGAACCACATAAACGCTCATATTTAAAATGATTATTTAAAAAGAATATATATACATATATAGATTTATATATATTTTCCCGGTCATAAACGCTCGTCGTTAAGAAAAAGTCTTTAAATTTCACAAAATAATGTTACAAAGTAATGCTTCGAATTCTTGTTGTTACGTATTTATTTATTTTTATTTTTCTATCAGGAGAAAATACTTTTCATTATAAAATCAAATGACTTGATACAAATTATAATTTAAGTAAAAATTTATTTATAAGACATTTTTGATAAACAAAACATTGAAAAAACCTATAGATGAAATATTTTTAGTATTAAGAAAAAAAAAGAAGAAGAAATATTTTTAGTATTTAAATAAATGATATTCACACATCACAAAAAAATCTAACACTTCATTTTTTTATTTTTTATAAAGAAGTAAAAAAGAAATAAAAGAAAAAGGGAGGAGATAATACAATTATCTCTCACAAGAGCTTTCAAACTTCACACACCTTTGACATATAAATTTTTTTTTTTTAATGTGAGTACTTTAAAATTGTTAAATATTAATATACTATACTGATAAATTTTTGAAAAAAAGGTCGTTAAATAATAAACTAAAAATGATAGTTAAATAATAAACTAAAAATGATAGTTAAATAATAAACTAAAAATGATGAATAGAAAATGCTAATGAATTAACTAAAAAAAAAAAATGATAGCAAATGAGATGGCTTGATACAATTGAGACATTTATACTTAAAAAAAAAAAAAAAAAAAATTTATATGTCCAGTTATTTTGAAGTTTGAAAGTTTTATGAGAGATACGTTTTGTTTTAGAAAATTTAATCTTAATTATCATTATATTTTATTAATTTTGAGAGTAATTAAATCTCATAAGTAAGATTCACGTTCAAACTTACATAAAAAATTAATAAAAAAAAAAACAAACAAAAATCTTGAATTATGCTCCAGCATTCATTTGTAAGGTTGATGACATCAATAACTAATAAATTTTATGAAACTCATATATTTTTTATTATTATTTTTTTCACGCAGCAAAAGATTAGCATTTTTTTTTTTGTGGGGACGAAAGTTTCTTTTTGAATGGCAAATCCAGGTGTAGATAAAATGTGGGGTTTAGACTCCTATTTGGCATAAGGGTTCAATAAGAGTACGTTACTTTTAATTATTGAATTGAAAAATGTATTAAATGATTCATTTAATTTTTTACTTATTTTAAAAACAGTTCCAATCAAGTTGTTATATATAGAGAAATCACGACGCCAGATTTAAGTATAGAATAATGGTTTCTTATTTCTATTATGGGGAGCGTGAGAGGAGAGCTCTTGGAGACGAGCTTATTTGATAGCATCTCTCTGAAAAATTAGGAAAGATGATATTTGGTTATGTATATCAGTCATGACGACGACATTTTCATTTATAAAAGCACTATTCTCATTTAATGAAATTTATCCTCACATGTCACAGACAGACATGAGACACTAAAGGGCTTACTTCTCGTGGAGAAATTCACAAAATAAGAACTTTTACAACAAAATGTGATAGTTTGAAAATTTTGTATAAAAAAATATTGTTCAAAAGTTATATATCGGTTTAGTCATGATTTGATTTTTTATTTTGCATTTTATCCAAATAATATTAGAAGTAAAACATTGACAATATGCTAATATTTTATTGTCAATATGCTAATAATTTATTTAAAATATATCAACAGACCTGTAGTCTAGCTGTATAAGGTTCCTACTTTCCAAAGGGAGGTCAATGATTCGAACCTCACTGAAGGCAGTGTGTGTGAGTTCCAACTAAAAAAAAAAAAAAATCATTTAGAATAAAAATTTGTGAAAATTGGAATGTTCAAGGGAGTTCCAACTAAAAAAAAAAAAAAAATCATTTAGAATAAAAATTTGTGAAAATTGGAATGTTCATCCCTTGAGAAAAACACAAACGATACAATTGAAAAACAAGCTTGAGAAAAACACAAACGATGAGAAAAACACAAACGGTGCGAAAAATTTGTTATGCGTATTCGGGGGAAAATTATTGAATACCCCGGGGTACATACCCCGGGACATACCAACCCTTGGATGTGGTGGGGGGCCCCACCACATCCATAATTCAATGGCCCTCAGTATCCCGGGGTACCATATTCCCGGGGTATTCAATAATCTCTCGTATTCTAGAGCGAGGGGTGTGGACCCAGGTGAGGGCCTTGAGAGTTGAGCCCATATCTAGTCACTCATTAAAGTTTGGCATTTAGACTTTTCATTGGTTATCAGCTTCTCTGTTTTAATATAATGGCAAAAGAGAAAGGTAAAAAATTCCATCTTCCCTATTAATATTACAAGGGATATTTGTCCGAATGTAGATGAATAGTGAGGTGTAAAAATGCATCACTATCTAATAATTTAAGTTTTTAAATAAACAGATAAGTGTTTGTTAGTTATCTCATCTTTTTAAGTGTATCACCCAACTTATGCAATATTCTATATTTTAATATAATTCTTTGAATTTTAGCCAAAACACCCTTTAACTTATCATTATAATTTATATATTGTACCGTACATCGCAGAATCTTATTTACCAGCACAAAGAGCTTTAGTATCTCACTCTCAAAATCTTAATAAATAGTAGATAAAAGTAAGCTCGTACACGACATACATATTTGACATATATGTATGATTATTGTAGTTCAATCACCAAAGCAGCGTAGTAATACTTAATGGAAGCACACACAGTAGTGACTCAATAAAGTGCACTAACATCACTTTCGTCGTGGCAGCAGACGAAAGCAAAGTTTTTCCCCATAATACGGAGGCACTCTGGGCATTTCATATTCTCCGGAATCCTCCCGATAGTGCTCGGAAACTCGAAGCGACAGCACGGCACAGCCGCGCCATGAAGCATGTCATGGTAATCTTTAAATGAAAGGTCGAAGCCTTTGACAGGTATATTTTCCTTCCACATATCGTACTCATTCAATGCAGGCAACACAGTGCTGCTGTGTCCGTTGATCACCACGGAACTTCCGTTGCTCAGCACGGCCCAACTACCGCTCTTGTCATAGCTGAGGATTTTCTTGATCATCAGCATCATGGGGTCATTGTCATCGCCTCTGCCCAGTTGAATCTTGGAGAACAACATGCTCTCTAGACGGGTCCAGAAAAACCATATCATGGCCATATCTTGCCAGCAGTAGCCGAGTTTCTCTGTCTTGATGGTCGAGATGACACGCCGGACTTGCTCCCTTTTGGTGCTCTTTCCCACATACACCATCTCTAATGGGATGCGAGAAGCCAATGCAACAGAGCGTGCTGAGGTTGTAAATTTTCGAATCCACTCAATGTCATCCCCTCCATACAAGAATATGTATTTGCCGTCTCTTATCTAAAATAAACAACACATATATTCAACACTAGGTTATCAAAAATACATTCTACCCTAAGATCATCATCATATATTCTTACTTTGATGCCATTTTAATTTATTTTATCATATGCTAATCAATTATATTTGTGTTTTTTTTTAGGAAATAATATATATATATATATATATATATATATATATATATATGTATGTATGTATGATGCAATTAAAAAACTTACCCAATTCAGAATTGTTTGGTCAATGCCATTGACCAGCAATTCAAGCCTCAAAATCTCTTCATTCCAAAGAGCTTCCTCTCTCAAGCTGGTGAAAGGGAAGGCACCACTTCCCCATATCAACATCATGTGGATTGCATTAGGGCTCAACACCTTTCCTTGTGGGTCGAGCACCACAAGGATAGGCTTGTTTCTGAAATGCCATTTCTCCTTGATGAACCTGATGACTGGTTTCTGGATCAATGAAGGGTGGTGCACTAAGAACCATCGCATTGTGGCCTGCAGGGTCTCAAACTGCTTTTGCATCAGGTCAGTCCACTTGACCCAATGTTCCACTATTGGAATCCACACCACCTCGTATGCATGGTTCCTTGAGTCATTGTAAATTTGCTCCAGAACCGAAAGCTCTTCTTGGAAGAAGTTTAGGCCCGATATCAGCAATAACACATTCTTCCTCCTCAGAACTTCAAGGCTCACCTGTTTAATTTGGCATACAATTAATTAAAAGATATTAAATTGCAGTAGAATCGAGTTAATCAACATTGATCATATATCATAAAAATTTCGAACCCTATTCTTTGAAGCACCATCAAGTAGCGGTGCCTGATCATCCCTGGGGCAAATTATTGCTTTGAGAACTTTCATGTTGTCAATTTGGATCGTTTCAAGTATACGCTGCAGTGCGTCGTATGCTTCTATATTCTTCTTATCCTCTGCATGAAACGGCAATGTTATTTTCAACAGTTAGACAAATCATTTTCCAGGCATTGTAGTACTGTGTGTGCAATATTAACAGTGCTAACTTGTGTGAATTCAAATGGTTGGTCACTATATACTTACCTATGTATTGGTAGCAAGTGGCCAGTTGCTTCTTAAGATGGTCGAGTATGTTGTTGTTCTTGTGAGTCAAGGTAGATAGATCCCATGAATCTTGAAAGCTGAAAACGGTTGCAAGATCGAGCTTTAATTTATTTTATGTCATGAAGAACCACGTACGCATGGTCTTTTAACAGACATAAGTCTTAATGAGTGAATATATATCTGTTTGTGTGTGTATGTATGTATAACCATCAATTTTGAACATGACAATAAACATACTCGTGGCCAGTGGTACTAAGATTGATAATCTGAGCAGTGCAAACGATGAGACCTCTGATGGCCCAATAGACAGCAGTTGGGATAGTGGCTGAGGCAGTGGAC